CCTGGACGCCAGGCTCCATCCGAGCTTCTGTGTGAGCAGACGGTGGGTGCATGCTGCACTTGGCCAGAGCCCGCTCTTTGTGTGAAGGCTGGAGGCACTGTGCTCTCCCTGGACTGCAATGGGGTGGCCAGCACCCATAGAGTTCAGGTGCGGCAGGGGTGGTGGTGAGAGCCAAGGGCCATGTCTCCTGTGCCTCTGCATGACAGACATACCTTGGGAAGGAGAAAGTGAGTCCCAGACTTGGGGTGAATGCTGTTACTGACCAGCTACGTAATTTGAATACCAGGCCCTCCCTCCCCAGTTTTGTGACCATAAACGAATACCTAACTTCTCTGAGTATTCTTCCTCTACTCTATAGTAGGGTAATACAGCATACCCTGATGGCTCCCATAAGGGTCAGTAGGCACCCTGGAAATTATCAAGACCAGTGGTTTCTAAACTCTTTTCCCGTGAATCAATGGAAAATGACTTATGTAAAACTTTACAATGTCTAAAACAAACAGAAGAGATGCTGCTGGGGCTGCAGCTGGGGTGGGGACCCAGCACCCTGTGTGCCTGACCTGTGTGGACACATCTGGGAGGGCATCCCACTGGCTCGGCTCTGCAGCTAAGACTCTCGGTTGGTATGTAAATGTCAAGCGTTCCTCTTTTTCAATCACTTTCCACATTAAACAAGGAAGCCTGCCCTGTCCTCACTCTTTCCTACCCTCCCCGCAAGAGAAACATCTCTCTAACACCCAAGTTAGGCTTTCCGCTCTGAGAGAGCGAGGAAAGGTAATGGTGGTCTACGTTGCCATGAACGTGAGCTACATTAGAACCGACCTGCCCCACAGGTCCAGCCTGAAGGGGACAAGTCAGGACTAGTTACCCAGGGCTCTGACTATCCTGCAGCCCTGACCGGCCTCAGGGTTGCCAAGAGGTCTGGTCTGGAAGGAGCTGGTAACCAAGGCCACAAAACCTGTTCACCCCGACTTGTACCTCACACAACAGGGACGGCCTGACTCTTCCTTACTCAGTATTCAAAATTCCAGGCTTAAAGAGCACAGCAGTTAGTAAAGGACCACTGATCTTACAAAAAGATTAAACCTCATCCATTCTTTCAATAAATATTCCCTGAGGTGACAGGTGTTCGGGGGAAGGTTTCCCTAATTCTTCATGATTAAGCTTCAATTCCTCCTGAAAGGTGCCTGAAGTCTCAAGTGGCCCATACCTTTGGGCAGGGGACCTACGTCTGCTCCTGGCTCTACCCTCAACAGTGTGGTGCCAGGACAGTGAGACTTCCTTCCTGGTGCCCAGCAAAATGAAGCACCCTTCCGGCCCCAGCATGCCGTGAGTCCAGGCTAACGGTCACTCACTCAGTCAGCGGTACCGCGCAGGCTGCCCCCAGGTTTATCCGAGCTATGTCTGCATTCCTTCTTGTCTGATCCCCCAGCTCTGAAAAGTACATGCCACAGCCCAGACAGCCAGGCCAACCCGTTTACATGCGAATGGACCTGCCTACACGTGTGCACTCTGAGAGGTGAGCACTGCACATGGTCAATGTTGTGTCCGTCCTGCCAGTGCTCAGGGCCTGTCACAGACTGGCCCATCAGTTTGCTTCCTGGGACTGAGGATCCATAAGAGCAATAGGGCATCTGGGATAAGGAGGAACCAGGAAAGGAATGGAGATGGGACTTACCAAGGCTCCTCCATGGAAGTGGCTGCAGGACACATGCCGGAAGCCCCGCTGCAGGGGGATCCCCGGAGTGGGGGATCCATCCTGGTAGCCCAGTGGGAATGGGCAGTAGGAATGCATGTTGGAGCAGCTGGGGTACAGCTTGGAAGGCTCTCTCTCCAGGTACTCGGACCCCACCACAGAATCTGAGCTAATGCTCAGGGGGAGCCCTGAAAAGGTAAGCAATGAAGGAAGTGTTAAAAACACACAGGGCTAGAGAAAAGAGCATCACATCACCGTACAAAGGTAGCAGCACAACACTCAAAGCCACTTACAAAGAATTCCCATGTCCATTATGCTTTTGATCTTCCCTGCTTTTTAAGCCGTTCAGCCATGTCCCACTGCTCTTAGAAAAAGTCCTTGGCACAGGCATAAAGCCTCATGAGGGCTAGTTCTTGCCTCCACTCCAGCCTCCTCACACACTATAACCTAGCAGCTTCTCCTTTCCCATCAACCTCAAGGCCTTTGCAGATGCTGTTCCCTCAGTTTAGAAGGCTTTTCCCCCCTTACCCCACTGTGCCTCAGTAAGTCCTCAGTACTCAGCTCCTACTCTTCCCTCAACCACAACTAAACTATCAGTTATTAGAACTCTATACATTGATTTGCGTGATTCCTTGATCGGCACTGTCCCTCCCACAAGGACAAGATCCTTGAAGGCAACAAAAGTGACTTTTCCCCTTTCAGTTCTTCGTCACTAGTGTTGGGGCACAGTTAAGTACTCAGTCCCTGTTGAGATGGAACAGAGAAAGGCCCTGTGTCCATGGAAAGGTATCTTCTAGAATTGCTGTTTCAGGTCTGCCTTCCCCCTCTAGTTTCCTGGGGACCTAAATTTTCCTAGAATGTCCCAGAAGGCAGAAATGGCCTTCAGAGAACATCCAGGCCAATCCCCTTAGCATAGAGGGGAGAGACTGCCACAGAAGGAAGGAGCTTGCCTAAGGTGACTGAGCAGTCTCCCGGCCTCCTGTGCTCTTTTCTACCACACTGCCATAGAGAAAACCAAAAAAAAAATCATGTGTCTGCAACCAAAAAGAGCCTCAAATCTGTATGTGACTTGAAACTGTACTTTTAATACTGAAAACCACCAAAACATAAGGAACCATGTAATTTATGCATATGGTGGGAGGGGTGGAAAAAGAGGTAGTATCAAGACACCAACCGTTCTCCAGTGGGGCGCAGAGAACTATCTCATTCCCACTCCTCGCTAAAGGGCGGAAAAGGGTGCGCAGGCGCATTGGGCCAGGGCCCTTCCAAAGGAAGTTGGCTGGGAGGAGCCGCCAACGGCCGGAAAGGGAAGAGTGCGCAGGCGCAGTCATCGTTGCGCAGGCCCGCCCACACGGGCGTCTGGAAGAAGGCGCCACCAGCCCAAGAAAAGGGCGGGAAGAAGTGCGCAAGTGCAGTAGGGCCCATCTCGTTAGGGCGTCTTCCTGAAGGGGAAGCCACAGCTAAAGGGATTGGGGGCCATTTTCTTTCTCCCAAGACAGAAAGGGAAGAAGCTAAATGTTAAAAGCCGTCAGAACCACCCATTCCTTTCTGGCTCTCTTTTTACCTTTTTGCAAAATGGCCCCAAACCCAAATCTCTATTTAGAGAACAGTTTCCCACAGCAAGAGTACCTCTGAAAGCATTTACCCCACCCCACCCCAAGGGCCCATCCCGGCACGATCCCGGGTGGCCTGGGCCACCAGCGTGGGGCACGGGGAGGCTGCAACCCGGAGAGGCATCCCAGGTGGGGCGAGGCCACGCGGGGCCCGGGAATCTTACCGAAGTCGGCGAATGGTGGGCTGGGCACGGGCCGCAGCGGCCTGCGCAGCTCCAAGCGGCCGGCGTAGCCCTTGCCTGCGTCCTCCGCCCCGAGCTGGGGCCCCACGGAACCGGGCATGGCCACGGTGGCTCGTTCGCTCAGCCCCACGTGGCCGTGGCCGCCCAGAACTGGCTGGAAGGCACTCGGGCCCGGGCTCGGACCCCGCGGGGGCCTCTCCGGGAAGCCCGCGGCCACGCGGCACGCCGGGCCTACCTCCCGGTCTCCCGAAACTGCCAGCGGAAGCAGCTGGCGGAGGCTTGAGCCCGGGGCGGCGGCCGCAGCCCCAGACAACAGCTCCGGCCCGTGCGCGCCAAGGGCCATCTCCTGCTCCTCCTCGGAGGCCTGCTTCTTCAGCACCTTCTGCGCTGCCATAATCTTCTGGCGCTCGGTGATCAGGTAGCACTTCTCGCAGGTGCACTGCTTCCAGCGGCACTTGCCCGCGTGGCCCTTGACCGGCACCAGGAAACCATGGTTCCGGCACCGCGAGCACTTGGGGGTACGCAGCATCTTGTCGGCCAGCTTGGCAGGGTCTGCCTTCGTAGCACAACCGCTACCTCTGGAAGCTGCGGAGCGAGTGCAGCGAGGACGACTGGCGCCCCAGAAGTCTCTGGTGCTGGGGACTTTGGATACATTTGTAACAAAGTGGTTCTCAGTAAGTCCCGGGAGCTGCACGGGACCCTTGCATTTTCCCTCCTTTTTTGAAGTGCAGAATTTGGAGACTTTGTGTGTCTTGGTTAATTACATGCAAGGGATTGGACTGAATAAGTTCTTCATGGAATGCTATTGCATGTCAGTCATCTGGGTTATCTGAAGTCTTACCCATTTAATTTTCCAAACTTTCTATTCCCGCCACACCATAGACAGAAGATATTTTTGTAGCTTCAAAAGAGGCGGAGTGATAGTCAACGGTCCACAAATTTAAAGCTCCAGAAGTATGGAGCTCTCAGTAAACCCATTCCAGGAGAAAAGCATCCTAAGAGGCAAACCGTGCTTCTCCTTCCAAAAGTTGCTTCTTCTGCTGAATTTCATTTCTCTCCCCTGCTGAGAAGCAGCAGCTCACAGTGATGCTTCCAGAATAGTCTCAAGAGCTCAGGGCAGTGTGATAGTTGCTCAAGGGTGTGCCCTAATAGCAAGTTTTGTTGGTATAGAAATGCATTTCTGGCAAATGGTGCATTGCTGTTGCTGATGCCTTCCAAAGTAAAGCATACTTTAGACAAGGTATTTTAGCATGAGCTTTTATCATTCTTACTTTGCCATGAATTTAGTTATCCCTGTAAAGCAGCCCAAATTCTGGGTCATTTGAAAACTGGCACAAACTTCATAGTTTTCCAATGCTACTAAATTAATTCATTTTCTTGATAGAAATGTATGACACTCTGAGGTCTTTTTTTTTTCCAGGTCCAAAAAATGGGGAAAAATGGATCACTAACACCTACGTTGAAAAGCTTATAATCATAGGATCAGTTGTCTTTAAGGAGGTAGTTACACTTAAAACCTGGCTAAAATGTGTGTGTTTTAAACTGACCTCTTTCTGAAATTTTCTGTCTGGTAGCAGAGTGGCAGAAGCGAGGCCCGGTGTCCACCTTGATTTTGCAGAGCTCTTGGTTGCGGCTGGCTCCTTTGCGCTTCTCACCAGCGGCCTGACAATGGGGAATGGTTGCAATTCTGAGGCTGATTAGAAACCCAGAGCTGAACAGAGGTTTGTAAAGCCCTTTTCTGCTTTAAAGAAATATATTCCTCATTTTAATAAGAGGGCAAAAGTATACGCTTCCTGTATTATCTGGCCCTTCAGGGATTTCACTGGTAATTTTACATCCATTTAGAGAGATCTAGGTTTGTCTCTGCTTTGCTCTAACACCCTCTATCTTAGTTTTTGATTTAAAAAATATGGTCCTGTAGATAAAAGGACAGGAAAGCTCGTTTTCTGACTCTACCAATTCAAAATGTCTAATTTTTTCACTGAGAAGTTCAGTGAAACGGTACTTAAAAATCATAGTTACAATACTGCTGTCAAAAAATCTGGGGCATAAGCTGCATTGTTTCATGATAAGGTCATATTCTGCATTATCAAATTTAAATTTTAACATCAAATAACATGGAAGGATGAGACAAAAAAAAGAAAACTACTCTCATTTACATTTCATGCTTGACCACCCAAGCTCTCTTCATTTTCCTATTAATGATTTAAAGGAAAATCCTATTCAAAGCCAACTATTTGAATTAACATATTTTGGCCTTGTTAACTACAAAATGCTTCCATATTTACTTCATAGCTTTAGGGGCAAAATATACCCAAGGTGATGTGAATTTGCATCATGCTTTGACAACATTAATAAACAACCATATATCTTTTTAATCAGTAGTCACATTATAAGATGCAAAAACCCCAGGGTTTAAACAGTAAACAAATCTAAGAAAAAAAAAAGACTAGTTTATTTCTCTCTTCCCTGGAAAGTCTCAATTTATGTAGGTAAATTCCAACAGAGCTTTTTTTATTTCACTCTTGGAAATTCAGGCAAATTGATAGTTTTGTTTTATTTTGTTTGATGACTGATTACTTCTTAGGCTGCTGCTTTTTAAAAGAAATATATACATTTCTTTGAATTGTTATTTCTTTAGATTGTTATATACCATTCTTTAAATTCTTAAAAATGATGGTAAAAGTGAAAAACTGGAAGTCATAAAAGGATGGGAGCGCTTTAGTGGACCCTATAGTAGACCCCTTTTTTTCCCCCATACCTAAACCTTAGGATATTTATGTTTAAGAAAGTCTGCATCCTCTTAAGCAGTGGTTTATAAAATAACAAGTCATAGAAGCTGAGGAATCACCAGTTTGACTAATGAACCACAAAGGGGCTGGTTGGTGGTCATATGTGACTCCAGCTTCGAGGCTCCTTTGCCCTCGAAGTCCCAGGTTTCCTGTCTTGAATAATGCCTCCTCTTTTCAGTGATATGTTTGCTATTGGTACTGTTTAATTTATATTCACTGTAAAGAGTCTTGTATTATACAATGCATGGAGGTATCATTTACAATCATTAAATATTGCATGCACTGTAATGCTTCCTTACTGGGAGTACACAAGAGTAAGGAAGGGCTTTTTTGCCCATAGCTTCTTTCCCCTAACAGTTATAACCCAGATATCTGCTATCTTCCCTTTCTTCAGGTTCTCTCCAGTGAGCAATGAAAACTTTATTGAAGATTTTGTACGGGATGGAGGAGAGGATTTACATGACACATCCTAGAGCAGATGCTTTAAAATCCTGCCTTAGCATTTCTGTTCTCTCAACATCCTACTCTGCTGTGCCATATCCACTGGAGAGAAACTGGTCTGCCCCCCAGCACCCCCCCAGCCCCCCAGACTCTCTAGCTTCTCTCTCCTTTCTTGATTTTTTGGGGAGCTCTGTAACAGCTGTGACTATCTTATTTTCCTTTATGTCTAGCACAAAATAGACATTCAGTAAATATTTGAATGTACAAATGGCTCTTGCCTCCCTCTCCTGCCAATGTCGAAATTTTCTCATCGCTAATTGGCAAAGTAAATCAGCTTGGCTTCAGCAACTCTCCCCAAACATACAAAACAGAAAGCCCACAGTGAACAGGACCACTCTCCCGACAAGCAGAATTTGCTGACCAACTTTGGTTCCTTGAGCTCACCCCAACCCCTAATGGTACTAATAGTAATAATACCAGCCAGCACTTAGTGTTTCTGTATGCAGTAATTCTTCGGTCCTTTGTGTGTATTCATGCATATAATCCTCACAACAGTCCTCTAAGGGAGGTGCTGTTGTTTTCACCCCCCACTTTACACATGAAGAAACTGAGGCCTAGAGAAGTAATTTGCCCAAGATTTTCCAGCCATTGAGTGGCAGATCTATGATTCAAAACCAGGAAATCTATCCTCAAAGTCCATATTCTTAACCATATATCTGCTATTTCAATATTTCTTCTAAACAAACACAGTGCTCTCCCCAAGAAAGCTTTGGTTGATGAATAGGAATGTTTGTCTTATTACATACCCATTACAGTTGGGGCAAAGGGGGTGAAGCTGGTGGCAACCTAGGGAAGCTTCCTTTGATGCCCTGCTTGGTTGCTTTCCACCACCCACAGCCAACATTTATTGAATGCCAACTATGTGCTAAGTATAAGAGACACAGAAGTAAATAAAAAATCAGGATCCTTACCTTTAGGCATATATTCTAGCTGGCAAACCAGACAGTAAACAAATAATTCCAAATGAAAGCTGGGGAGTCGCGGTGGCAGAGAGAACCAGGATGCTATAGGAACCCATGTGAGAGCCTAACCTGGATCTAGAGATCGGCTCCCAGGGCGCCTGGGTGGCTCAGTTGGTTAAGTGTTCGACTCTTGATCTCAGCTCAGGTCTTGATCTCAGGGTCGTGAGTTCAAGCCCCGTGTTGGGCTTGATGCTGGGCATGGAGCCAGCTTTTAAAGGGAAGGGAGGGAGGGAGGGGAGGAGAAGAGAGGAGAGGAGAGGAAACGGAAAAGGAAAGGAAAAAAAAGAAAAGAAAAACCAGCTCCGTTGAGGGGTTGGTTTCCCTGCTGAGGCTGAAAGGCTGAGTAGGAACCAGTCAGGGACAGGAGCAGGAAACGGGTGTCTCAGACAGATGGAAGAACATGTTTGAAGGCCTGCGGTGCGGTTCTAGTACAGTGGAGTCAGGACTGGAGAGAGAGAAGGTATAGAAGTTAAACAGTAGCCAGATCATGGAGGGAGTCCTTGAGGAGAAATTATGGGTGTCACTCTCTAAGATTAAGGAGAAGAAATGACATGGTAGAGGCAGGCCAGAATGGAACCCACATATCCCGACATGTCCCTGACCTTGGTTTTTTCTTTCAGAAAGGAGGACAATAAGTAACTAGGACTCACACAGGTATTACAAGATGAAAAGGAGTTGAGCATGGTTTTCTTTGGGGCGGGCTTTGCAGGTGGAGCACACACCCACGGCTAGCCATGGCCCTGGACTCACACTGTGCTAGCCCCTTGATTCTCCTAAGCCCACAGCCCTGTTCGCTGGTTCACGTGACCCCCTCCTAGGAATCTCCTTAGGAATCATAAAACAGCAGTGAGGGAAGACAAAAGAGTGACAGAAAAATAGAACGAGATGAACTCAAACAGGAAAGCAGTTGGAGAGGTTTTGTAGGTAAAGACTAAAAGATGCGATCCTGTGGAACAAACAAAAAGTATACAATCTGGGCAGAGAGGGCATACTCAAAGTGGTACAGTTAACTGAATTAGACCCAGTAGCACGGACATTTGTTTTGTTTTCACTTGCTAACTTGATGAAAAAAATATTCTTACACACAGAAGCTTTCACCTGTAACTGCGACAGGTACTGTCAAATTTCTATAAATTTCAAGAAATTTTTTGTCTTAAAAGATGAGAGGCACATGTCCCTATAAATACATTGTTAATAGGGAATAATAACCTTAATCTCTCTCTCCTTTAGTAACATGCAAATTTGGCTTAACACAACATGCATGAATTTAACGCCAATATATGCAAGGCACCGTTCCTTGATAAAATGAGAGTCAAAAGAAGAAAGGAGCAAAGAAAATTAAATTTAATCTTTCTCTATGTGTATGTTCCTTGTCTAGTTTTTTAAAACAGTAAATTCTTACTTACCGAAAAAACAAAACAAAATAAAACACCCAGAATTTCCCCGACTTCTGCTTCTATGAGAAGGGCAAGCAGAGATCAAGAATTGCTCTTTCAAGAGACCTTTTCATTTTATGTCACAGCATCAGTACAAATTCAGTCCATACTGTAAGTAAATGGCAAGAAATAATTGCTTTAGAGACAGGCAAACCGGGTGAGAACCTGGTCACTACTCATTCGCTGTGTTACCTTGGCTAGGTCACTTAGCTTCTTTGTACCTCAGTAGTAGAAGCATTAGTAATATTTGTAAAATGTGCTTCGAATTCTAAAGTATCCCACATTTATCCCATTTAATGATATTAATATATAATGAATGCATACAGCTTTGCAGGTGGAGGGGTTCAGAACAAGTCTCCCCAAAATGTACTACTTTGGCATGTGAACTATTTTGAGCTGAAAGCAATCAAGATCCTGCAGGCTTAAGAGAAATTTTCTACCCTTCCTTAAATACCTAGAAGAATCTAAATGGAGGGGTTTTGCCAGAATAAGAGTTACTATCAGAGATAAGTTTTATCTGAATGACCCATCTGTATGGCAGGGCAAACATCTAATTATTAATCTGTTCTTATTGCCCTCCTCCCTTTTGAAGCCCCAGGCCCCTACCCCATTCCTTAGCTCAAGATGGCATATATACTTCATTTAACTTTTCCATTATTGAACCCCTCATATACCTGAGCGTTCCCATACATACAAAATTAAATTTGTTTTTCTCCTGTTCATCTGTCTCATGTCAATTTACTTCTTCAACCAGCCAGAAGAACCTTTGAAATGTAGGCATGGTCTCATTTAAATCACAGAACAACATCTATAAGGGAGGTACTTTTGTTATGTCCATTTGACAGATGATAAAATCAAGGCTTAGAGAGGTTAAGAAATGTCTTCCCGAAGGTGTACAGAAGTGACAGAAACATGTGTGAATAGCTTCCAAGTCTGTTCACTCAACCGTTATGCTCTCATTGCCATCATTTATTTATTTACTTTATACTCTTTTATAAAATAAGATCTCCGACTCTTGCAGGATTATAATGCATTTACAATGCCCAGCACAGTGTCTGGTATCTGGCACATGGTTAGCATGCATTACATGGTACCAAAGAGAAGGCAGGGCAAGGGAATGGGGAACGAAGAGAAAGAAATAGTATCCCCACCTCCAGCCAGGACATTTGATTCAGCCGCTCAGCCTTTCCGGGTGGCTCCAGGCTCTCCAAGCATAGATGAAACCTGAGCTAATACCATAGCTTTACCCCCATGTGGCTGTTGAACACTTTGAAGTGTGGTCAGTCCAAATTAAGATGTGCTAAAAACATAAAATACACACCAGATTTCAAAGACATAGTATAAAAAGGAATGTAAAATATCTCACTGATAATTTTGTATAGATTATACATTGAAATAATGATATTTTGAGTATATTGAGTTAAATGACATACTGTATTTTAATGTGGTTTTTCACTTTTTCAATGTGGTTACCAGAAAATTTCAAAATGCATATATGTCCCTACATTGTATTTCTACTGGACAGCACTGAAAGAGAGATTTGTCTGTGCAGGCCTTCTTCTACTTCCAAAGAGCAGGTTTTTAACAGTAGCTCCGATTCAAGCTGTTACACCACTGTCATGCATAGTAGGCCACTTGGACAGGTCCCTTCCTCATGTTGGTGAGATTACCTTCACTAACTTGAATTTACTCTTTGTCATTTAGGGTCTTTCTAATGGAACCGAAACTCTGTCTCATGCTTTAGAATTGGAAATATTTATCTATTAGAAGATGTCAACTAGAAGAGTCTAATAAAACTCTGGATTGCATTTTGAATCTTGAGATGCATTGATGTTATTTTTATAGGAATGTTTTCATATTTATCTTGTTAGGTATAAATTACTAGTAAAAAACTCTGCAAACTAGAAAAGAAAGAACGTCATTATATACTAAGGTCACACCATTCCTGAGATACACAGCCCTTTAGATTCTAAGATCACAACCAGAGGGCATGGATCAATTATGTACATGCTGCTTGATAAGTGGAGTCCTTTGGACATTTAATATTGTTAAGAACTTTGGAAATTTAATAAAAAAATTATTTGATTTATGCCCTTCTCCCCTAGAACCCACCCTAGATAAACAATTGCTACCCTGGGAGCGCTAATGTTACTTTGCACAAATAACTCCTTAAACAAACAAAAAGGCATGAAGATTTGTTATGAACAGTTTTCATCTAAACATCTAGGGATTATTACCTCCCACAACATTTTCTTTAAACATGGTTAGACTTACTTAGTTTAATGAGTTTGGGGATTGTTGCCTTTTCCCCTGCAACTTGCCAGATAAATCAGAAATATTTATTTTCAGAGACAGTTTAAGGAACTCCATAATTCCCAGTCTGTTTAAGCTTTACAGTAAATCTCAGTTGAATGCCTGTCATTGTTTCCAATCTGGTCAAGCAAAAAGAAAAAAGGCATACAATTCATCAGAATAATTAGTTGATTGGGGTTAAATAATTCTAGGAATAAACATCTGACTCCCTGGCACATCATAAACCTCCTGGAGTGAGAAGGATTATAAATTAAATGTACAAGATTTAAAATCATCCAGATATACCCTGAACATTATTGCAGGCATGTGGGACACATTTAGATAAGTTAAAACCAAGTGCGGGTTTAGAGTTTAGCCATCTTTGATCAGTGGTTTACTAAAGCCTTACTGCTTTGGTGTGAGGAGCAAAGAGAGGAAGAGTGGCAACAGTGCCCCCTACTGCCTAATGGCCACCTCCCTTCCCTGAAACAAGTTTTAGGGATATTTCAGACATCTGGTACCCCAGGAGATAATAAAACTCTCCCCCCAAGTATAAGGAGGTCAGGAAGGAAAAAAAAAAACAAAACTAACATTCGTTGACGGCCTACATCGTTGCAAGCACTGTGTTGTCATTTAATTTAATGATAATATGAAGTTTATCACAAATTCAGGAAAGAATAGGATGAGGTTTATAGATAAACTGAGGTTCAAGAAAGTTAGATGACATTTACAGGATTTGTAGCTAGAAATGGAACGAGCCAGGATTTGGACCCAGGTATGCCTGGCTCCCAAGCCAGAGATTATTACACTGTAGCATGCTAGCAGTGGCTAGAGGCCTTGGGCATGGTTGGGACTCAGAAAAGTGTCATGACCAGCCATCCTGATTTGCCTGGGACTGAGAGGGTTCTGGGGTCGCTGGACTTTCAGTGCTGCACATGGGAAAGTGGGGGGCAAACCGGGACAAGCTGGCTGCTCTAGCTAGAATTCGACTGAGTAAAGCACCAGGCTAGGAGGGGCAGTTTGGAAAAGGAGGGAGGCTGCCCAGCTGTGTCTGTCCTGTTCCTCTCTGTGGCCCAGGCTGCTATGCCACAGGTGAGCCATCTCTGTCCTATTTATTTGATGCTGTGACACATCCTGGGGCACTGTCAAAGAAGTTCACATTCCTGCCAGTTCTGGTTTCTTCAGTTCCCATCCTAAATCATCAGTCAGTGGGAATTTAGTTAACTGAATAAATCATTCCCTCAAGTGGAGGGGAAATTTCTTAACATTGACAGATTTGTAGGCTTAGGTTTTGGTTTCCTTACATAGACTGCTAAAGCATTAAAGCCACCTTAGTCTATTTGCCTTGTTTAATTAGTTGAACACTGGTATAAGACTACAATAAGGACAGGAGTTCAGTAAGACTTGTTGATTGAGAAAACCTGTATCTGCCTCTGCTCTCCTGATAGCCATCATCCTTACTTTGTGATTAGAATTTTATACCACCAATTAAAAAAAATGGTATAACATACATAAAGTGTCTAATGTTCACTAATCTTAAGTGTACAGCTTGATGAATTTGCAGAGTTGTATACACACCTACTTCCAGATAAAATATTTGATCAGAGAAACTTTAAGAAATCTTTGACCTCCCATCATCCACATACTGTGGTTTTCAAACTTTAATGAAGTTTAACGAAGAATCCACCTAAGAGAGCTTATTAAAATTGCATATTCCTACCCTCAGAGATTCTCATTCAGAGGGTCTGGGGTGTGATCTTAGATTTTAAATAAAGCATTCCAGGTGATCCTGATGCAGGAGGTCTATGGATCACACTTCTGAGAAATGCTGGCCTCCCTACAGCATAAAAGTCAAAGTGCTGAACAAGGTGTTAAGGTTTTGCCTAATTTGACCCAATTCTGTTTTTCCAGACTCAATCCTGGCTAGTTTCCACCATGTTGAATTACTTATCTCTCCTCAATAGTTCATATATTCCTGTTTCCCCTAACCTGGACTTACTTTTCCATCTACTCTATGTGACTGATGGACTTCTACTCATCCTTCAAGACCTAGCTATGTTGTCATCTCCTCTGGGAAGTCTTCTCAACCTCATGAGGCAGTATTAGTTGCTCCCCCATTGTTCATACAGAATTTTATTCAGACCCCTATTATACTACTTACCGTACAATGCTGATTTCTAAATCTCCTTGTTTAGAAATAAGCAGGAATATGTCTAGCTCTTTCTTAAACCCCTAACTCTGCACACGGCAGGGCACAAAGTGGGTGAATGAATGAATGTATGCTACTGATTTACACATGGAGTCACTTAGCTCTCATTTCCCAGGCCAATGAGACTGCAGTCTCCCTCAGGGAAGTGAGGGGTTTGGGCTCACTTCTGTGATCTCCAAAATTATGCCAGGGACTCAGTAGTCAATGAAAAAATACCTCATGAATGAAAATAATCAACAGACTCTCTGTCCCCCCAATTTAGTGAGTACCTCCATGCTTCCTAGGCCCTCACTGCAACTCTTGGCGGGAAACAGGAGTGGAGTGTGAGTGCTGGGGTTAGATGTCGCATCTAACAGATGAGAGTGTTAGGCTAGAAGCCGCAGGACTGGCCTCCAACACCAGGTTCCTGGTTCTCTCTACCCGTTCCCTCCACAGAACACTCTGTTGTCATGGAGACGACCATTGTCCTAAGTGGGCACAGTGAGGTGAGGACTCAAGAAAGGCCCCTCAGGAAGGCAACAGTGCATGGCGACTCTTCGCCCCCTCGTCCAACTCCTTATCTATTTGCTCGCCTATTCCTGTGTGTACTCCTGTTTGTACTTGTTGATTTATTTCTTTAGCGTCTTTGTGGAGAACTAGGCAGCTGAGCTGGACAGAAGCCACCTGGACAAGCAAAGCCCTACCTGCGGCTCAAGGTGAGACCTAGGGACCACTGCCCTTTGGCTGAGGAGGGCTGACAGGAGGGGCTGGAGGTGTGAGGGCCAAAGGTGTGAGGGAGGGATGGAGGGCGGTCCTGGACGTGAAGGGCAGGGGGATACTCCTCCTCGAGGGGGCCTCACCGGGCCTCACCGGGCCGGTAGCGCCTGCGCAGGCGCGCATCGAGCTCAGGCAGAAGCCCTGCGGACACCGGCTGCGCCTGGGGTGCACCCCGACCGTTGGGCTCGCGGGCGCGCGGGGGAAGCTCACGACGCACGCGCACCTGCCCTGCGGCCCCTGCGAGGGAAGAGCTCGGGCGAGGGAAGTGTGAGACCGGACGCGCAGGCGCGGTCATGCGTGACCCTGGCGGTTACCGGGCCCGGCACGCGAGAAGCGCGGGCCCCCTCCCGGGCAGTCCCTGGGCGGCGGCGGCGGCGGAGCAGAGCTACGAGTACGGCTCCACGAGGCACCTGCTGCTGTGCGGCCTGGGCGGCATGCTGAGCTGCGGACTGACGCACACGGCCATCGTGCCCCTGCACCTGGTCAAGTGCCGCGTGCAGGTGGACCCCGGCAAGTACAGGGGCATCGTCCGCGGCTTCGGCGTGACGGTGCGCGACGACGGGCTACGCGGCCTGCCCCGAGGCTGGGCCCCGACCCTCCTGGGCTACTCCCTGCAGGGCCTGTGCAAGTTCGGCCTCTACGAGGTCTTCAAGATCCGCTACACCCAGCTCCTGGGCCCGGAGAAGGCGTACGAGTGGAGAACCATCCTGTACCTGGCCGCGTCGGCCAGCGCCGATTTCTTCGCCGACGTGAAGCTGGCGCCCATGGAGGCGGGGAAGGTGCGCATCCAGACGCAGCCCGGCTTCGCCTGCACGCTGCGCGCCGCCGCCCCGCGGCTGTACGGCCCCGGAGGGCGCGTGGGCCTTCTACAAGGGCGTGGCGGCGCTGTGGCTGCTGCAGATCCCCTGCGCCATGATGAAGTTCGCCTGCTTCGAGCGCACCGTGGAGGCCCTCTCGAGGTACGTCGTCCCCAGGCCCCAGCGCCAGTGCACCAAGGCCGAGCAGCTGGCCGTCACCTTCGTGGCCGGCTACATCGCCGGCATCTTCTGCGCCGTCTTGTCCCACCCGGCCGACTACATCGTGTACGTTTTGAACAAGGAGAAGGGCAGTACGGCCTTCGGAGTGCTCCACAGACGGGCTTTGCGGGCGTGTGGAAGGGCCTGTTCGCCCGCATCATCATGATCGGCACCCTGACTGCGCTGCAGTGGTTCATCTACGACTCGGTCAAGGTCTATCTCAAGCTGCCTCGCCCTCCGGTCCCCCAAGGCGCCCCCAGCTGAGAAGCAGGAGTAGGCGTGGATTTGTCAGCTCCCGGGGCCATCCTTGGCCCAAGTGTCCAGGCAATGCTAGCGTGTAAAATGTTTTGTTTTCTGGCTTTGGAGAGGTGACGATATGTAGTCCGAGTTCTCTTTAGATGATTGATTCCTTCCTTTTTGGCAATCCAAGAGAATTGCAGCCGTTTCAATTAGGAGTCCAAACCATTATCTTTGGGGAGTTGGCACGGCAGCTTTAACTCAATAGCTTTCCAGCAACTGTAAAGAGAAAATTCTTAACGGGGAGTAATATTAGGTAATTTAGGGTTTCTAGATTGTTTCTCCTCTGATTCACCATTCGGTGGAGATTTACTGAATAGCCTACTAATGAGGTTTGAAGGTCAGCACAACTATATGGGGCAGGGAACAAAGTAAAATTCTGCTACAAGGTATTCACCTCAATAGAAATCGTGCACCTATTGAATAGATGAAGGACTCATTCCATGTTTCCTGTTATGTCCATCATAGGTAAAAATTATTAAAAATTAAATTGTGACTTCTATTGCCTGATAACTTAGAAAGTATTCCCTGTTTTCAAAGAGACATGACATGAGAAGATCTGCATTTTCTCATTTTGCTTTGTCCAATTCTCTTCCTGATGTTGCTGATTAGAACATAGCTCCCTCCAGGAAGTGCTACAATTGGATCAATGTGGAAAGCCAAAATGAGATGAAGGGCAGGCTCTGGGAATAAATATGTAAAAAAAAAGCCTCTGTTCTCTAAAAATTTCTTTTGTACAACTCAGCTTTCAACAGCCATACATCCAAAGAAGATCATACCACCCTGACATTTAAAAACACACACATGAAACCCTGCAATTCCAACTTTTTGTTGAATATTAAAGAGTGGTTTTGGTGACTTTGGAAGGAAAAATCTCACTTTTAATGTCACAAACGCCATTTATTTAATTTGGTACATGTTTCCATGATCTTTGTGATGGTTGAGGTTCATGAAATTTACTGAAGTTATAAAGGCACATTTTCAGTTTTCTGTAGCCTTCACATCTCTCATTGGGGAAATTATAAAATTAGTGAAACTGTGAATTAGAGATGTTTGTAGAATATAAGTAGGAAATAAACTTCAATGTGATATTTGCTGTTATTTACACAGCGTTACATGATTGCCTTAACTTGTATTAAAGCCTGCAGATTTAAAATATGTTGGTATTTTAACTATGTAATAGTAAACTGTTCAGTGGTTAACAGAAGTTAAAATGTCTAAATTTAAGTATATTTGAACTGTCTTGATTGGATAATAAAGAACTTGGAGGAAAAAATCAGAACTTGTGAATGAGCTAGAATCAAATTTATATTTAGTGTTTCTATTTTGTTTGTTATTGGGGAGGATACTATGTATTATTAAGACACTAACTTTCCGGGGCCCCTGGGTAGCTCAGTTGTTAAGCGTCTGCCTTCCGCTCAGGTCATGATCCCAGGGTCTGGGGATCCAGCCCCGCTTTGGGCTCCCTGCTCCACGGGAAGCCTGCTTCTCCCTCTCCCACTCCTCCTGCTTGTGTTCCCTCTCTCTCTCTCTCTCTCTCTCTCTGTCAAATAAATCTTAAAAAAAAAAAAAAAAGACACTTTCCTTAAGCAGTTAGTGTCCAGGTTTTTGAAAAGTGAAGTTCTCAATGAAGGAGAATGATAAATTTCAAGGGACTAAGTTGTGCGGGTTCTTTCTTGGAAAGTTTTAAGACAAATATTTCTGTCTAGTGTTGCCTTGTAAAATGTTTGTAGGAAGTTTCTTTGGTCAACAATTTATTAGAGTTCTTTATATCTGTACTGTAATTTAGGGGGGTTGCTGCAAAATCTTTGTGGAGTTTCAGGATACCACTTGTTCTGCTCTGTGGTATTTCTTGATTGTTCTGTTGAGAACACCAGATAATTTCCGCAATATACAGTGTATGCTTAGAGAATTATAATCTAAGGAGAACTCTTTGGCATGATTCTGACTATCATGGACATGGTCAAGGAAATTTACTTAGTTTGGCTCAGCAGTTTTCATCTTCAGTTCCTAGATTTCTATTCACCTTTTTTTGTTGCTAGTTTACAAATTAAGTAAGGGCCACGGTAGCGAACAGTAAAGAATAAAAATTAATTCAAGTAAAGTTAATAAATAAATGAAGGTTAATAAACAAATACATTTAAGTAAGGTAATAAATAAAAGTTAATTAAGTAATTTAATGACTCTTTTACGTTCAAAGTCATTGGGGATTTTTCTTCCTAGTTACTATTCCTTTGGTACAACTTAAACTTCTATTCAGTGTTTTACTTTGTAATTACCGCTCTGTGAAATTATGCAAATCTGTTAGAATTAGAAAAGCCATAGTATATGTCTGGTATTGTGAGACTTTTTTTTTTTTTAAGATTCATTTATTTACCTGAGAGAGCGAGCAAGCGAGCATGTGCATGCACGCAAACGGAGGTGGGAAGGGGGTGGGAAGCGGCAGAGGGAGAGGGAGAGAATCTCAAGCAGACTCCCCACTGAGAGCCGAGTCCAGCGAAGAGGGGCTCAGTCCCCTGACCCTGAGACCACGACCTGAGCCAAAACCAAGAGTCAGACGCTCAACTGGCTGAGCCACCCACATGCCTTGGAATTGTGAGACCATTTATATGCGTTTTCTCATAGTCTCAATACTTGAAGTAGTACATTTTATATATAAAGAAACTGGGACTCAGGAGCTAGGTAACTTTCTCAACATCATATAGCTAATAAGTGATACAGTCTGAGTCAGAGTCCACATTTTCTTTCCTACTCAAGCTCAGCACCTTGACATAACCAATAATTATTCTTTTCATAAACTGCTTTTTATAGTACCTCAAAAATATTTTTTTACATTTCTATTTGTAATAGAAATGTATTATTTGTATATACTATATTCATTTGTATATATTATAAAGCTTTCCTAATTTTGCACTAATGGAAAGTTTGTAACGTGTTTTAGTTGTGAAAAACCTATGGCATAATTGCTTAGAAGTAATCAAACTGCTAAATATTTAAATACATTTAATTTAATATTTAAATCATTTTCCACATCAGGTCAGTGCCTCGGTCCTAACTTGAAAGGACCGATGGTTATAAAAACAGTGTCTGAATTTTTTTTTTTTTTGTAATTTGTGGTACTGCAGTTTCAAGGCTTTATTTTATCACATTTTCTAATTCTTTAATCTTTAGTTCCTACAGCTAAAAAAGCTGGCTTAGGCTATTTATCTTTTCCCCCAGGTGTTGATCAAAGTAGCTTTTTCAAGTATATGAAATTAATTTCATGATAGGGAGCTGTAATCTCATCCATTGATCTGTTCTTT